ATGGGAAAACGGCCTAGACATCAGTCCAGTGCAGTCCACGCGCTTCTGTTCGCAGCGGTTCATGCACGGTGAGTGAACCGTTCTGCCCACCTTGTCCCACCGAACTGCTCGCACGGCCGGCGACGGCGGTCGGGCAACATGGCCTGCGACCGGTTGGCCGCATTGTTTCTGCAAGATATTCATATATTCGGTTTCTCCTTACCCAAGCTCATCTGAAGAGTCTTCTCGTCTCCACATGTACAAAAGGCATCGCCCCCGTCCTCCTGCTCCTCCCCCCATCGCCGCTAGCCGTTCAACGTGTCTTCCTTCCAACATTCCTCCCTCCACGTGCTATGCATTATGGTATGAACAATTCTTTCACGCGCTGTGCATTATGATATGAACTACTCTTTCTCTAGACTGCTCAAGGCCTGTGACTCACCTCGACCGTAAATTCTAAGGCTTGACGACGTGGTCATACCGAATACAAGATACGTGCACCGTTGTCGACGAGCGTGTGTGTGGAGGACTGACCTAGCTGTTGCGCAGTAGCGAAACTTCAAAAGCCGCCCACATCTATCGCTGCGCGCAAGTCGAACACCTCCAAGGCGCGTCGACTGCCGTCGTTTGTGTTGGTCAAGTCACGCGTGCACGTCCAAGGCGCGTCCGATGCGCCACTTTGATGGTACGCGTTCCCACCTTCGTCTCATATCGGGCGTCGCCTCGGGCCCCCATCTTCCATTCGGTTTTCATCTGACAATCGCCACGGTGCAGGAACCGACGAGCTCCGCGTTCGGACCATCGTGCTCGATGTTAGGCTCAAGCCCGCGCTGGTATCAAATCAACGTGAGTGCATTTGAAATCAGGCCATCGAATGGCTGCTCACCACCCATGTCAATCAGAACCTTCCAACGGATCAAGATCGCGGTCGATATCCGACACATTGCGCTGGATGCGACGCACCAAGTAAGTCTTGTACGGGCTGATGCCAGACCTCGCACAGTGGTTGACAGGATGATCTTGAATGAAGACCAGGGAATGCGACGGCCACAGCCGGCCTCGGACCTCTATACCACACGCCAAACGCGACATGCTCCCTAGACCGACCCCACCGTCTGCGGCAGCTCACGATCGACCTCTGCGGGATGCGATCGCTCGTAGCCTCGAGCCCTCTCGTGCAGACGACAATCCTGCGCAAGTTCTGGCGAAGGAGACTGCGTGAACCCAAGGCTTCGGCACACAGTACGTCATCTCGCCGTTTCTCTTGTGCACATTTTAATCATAATCTCCGTAGGATTGTGAGCGCGACAGTCACAGTCGTGACCAGTGCCCTATGCCTTACTACGCAGTCCAAAGCCACGGACAGCAGGAGGTCGACAAGCGCAGGGGTGCCTGTCCAGGCCGAGCCACACGCGGTCGCAACCAGGTTCGGCCGTCTCGCCCCGCGTGCCTCGTCAATTGCTGTATCCTTATATCCAAGTTTTCGCCTTCGTCTCTGTACACTCCGGGCACCCACACCTCTCGCGACGTTGACGGCATTTTCGACGTGAGCACCAAACGGCAATCGAGCGCGGAGGCCACCATAGTCGACACGTACACGCCAGGGATCGAGCGGCAGATTCGCAGGGTGGTGAGTTGCTCACCAATCAAGATGTCTCTCGGCACTTCCTCTCCATCGCGTCAAGTCGCGGCCCAGCTGCGGTCTGTTTGCGTGAGCGGCGAGCACATGCAACCCTGTATCATGCAGATAAGCGCGATCGACGGTCGCAACCATTCCTGGCCGTCTCTCGCCGCGCACTTCGTCGATTGCTGTATCCGCACAGCCAACCTCTCGCCCGCATCTCCGTACGCTCCGGGCATCCACACGTCTCACGAAATCGACGGCATTCTCGGTGAGAACAGGGCGACTGAGAGCAGAGACCGCCCGACTCGACAGGCCCCAGGGTCAAGCAGGAGGTGCATCGCTCACCGTTCGAAACGTTTCCCGGTACTTGCTGTCCGTCGCGTCAAGTCACACACGGTCCACGCTTCAGGCATCCACACATCCGGCCAGGTCGACGGTATCCTCGACGCAAACAATGCGATTGAGCGCAGAGGCCGCCCGACTCGACACGCTCACACGAACGATGGGGCAGCAGGTGCACAGGAATGGTGAGTTGCTCACCGTTCGAAGCGTCGAGCGCACGCAACGCATGCAACGCTCGCTGCCCTGTC